CATGGGTTACAAGAAAAACATTTTGTGTTGTGTCCACCAGGTGGCCATGAAACATCCATCTGCTGTGACTGCCTGCAACCTGGACCTGGAGAACCTGATCACGGACTCGAACCGCAGCATTGCGACTCTGGCCATCACCACTCTGCTGAAGACGGGCAGCGAGAGCAGCGTGGACCGCCTCATGAAACAGATCTCCTCCTTCGTCTCTGAGATTTCTGATGAGTTCAAAGTGAGATCTTTTTAATGTCATTTAGCTTCAATTATACATTTAAAGTGCACTCTTTGAACAATCTGTTGTAAATCTGTTTTATTTCAGGTGGTGGTGGTTCAGGCCATCAGTGCTCTGTGTCAGAAATATCCCAGGAAGCACAGTGTCATGATGAACTTCTTATCCAACATGCTCAGAGATGATGTGAGTACCGAGCAAAAATGCAATAATCATTAAAGACCAATAATACGTGAGCAGATGTATTATAGCAGGTTTGGACTCCCCGTGATCATTTATTTCACTGCAGGGTGGCTTCGAGTACAAGCGAGCCATTGTGGACTGCATCATCAGCATCATTGAGGACAACCCTGAGAGCAAAGAGACGGGCTTGGCCCATCTGTGTGAGTTCATAGAGGACTGTGAACACACAGTACTGGCCACAAAAATCCTGCACCTGCTGGGCAAAGAGGGTCCTCGCACCCCGCAGCCCTCCAAATACATTCGCTTCATATTCAACAGAGTGGTGCTGGAGAGCGAAGCTGTCCGTGCAGGTCTGTACACTGACCTGAAAACCTGTTTTCTTGTACATTTTAGATGGTTCCATTACCAGCAGCTAAAATGTGTTTTGGTTTTTCCAATCTTCAGCTGCCGTCAGCGCTTTGGCTAAATTTGGAGCGCAGAACGATGATCTTCTGCCGAGCGTCCTGGTTCTCATGCAGAGGTGTTTATTTATTTCTGTGTGATTAATGTTCAAAACTACTTGTGTTTTTATAGTCAAAGTAATTCATTCATGACGGCATGTTAAATTAAGCCAAGATTAAAAACTAAGCAAGCTTGTTGTACCGCCAATTCTCTGAAGTTTCAGTTAATTTTTTTTAACAAACATAAGAGACATATATTTTATGGCCAAACATTTATTAGTCTTTTAGAACAGCTGCATGAATGACACAATGACCTTGGTGATCAGATTGGTTCCTAACTGAACAGTGAAACATGTTTACCTTTGACCTGCTTCGTCTTCACAGGTGTATGATGGACAGTGATGACGAGGTGCGGGACAGAGCGACTTTCTACATGAACGTACTCCAGCAGAAGCAGAAAGCTCTGAATGCAGCCTACATCTTCAATGGTGAAGACTCACACTTATACACAGTCATAGGCGTCGCAACCATTATATGTGAAGGGGACAAGTTCCCCCCCCACATTAAAAAAACGTTCATTTGGACCCCCCACTTTTACTATAAAACATTAGTTCAGTCTGCACAGTTTCTCTTTCATCGTGAATGATTCCATTCCACTTGATTAATAGAAGAATACTCTGGCCACTAAAACTCCACTCCAGGTTTTCCTGGTTACCTCAAACTCTAAACACAGCAGCCTGTTGCCACGGTTACAGTATACGGTGGTCACAGAATATGGTGTAACACCTGCAGTGTTTCTGTGCATCTCTTCCTGTCTCAGCATAAAACGCACACAGGTGGAGGAGATGGAGACACCTCTGTGTTACTCGCTCGCCAGTTTAGCAGTTTAGTGTGGGCAGTTGACCAGGGGGTTGATCATAAACATATATTCATGTTAGGAGGATGCTTGAGGGGAGCGCTACGTCTGTAGCATCTTAGCTTAGCAGTAACTGTGACGCTGCAGGTGTAAGAGACGCTGTGTGTTCAGGTACATTAAAGTTGAAATGTCTTTAAACCCCCACACCTTATTGTCCTCAAGCTTCATAAGAAACATCATTTAGATGAGTCGTGTTGAACACAAGTAAAAAAGTCCAGTGGTGATGTTTTTCATTTCTCTATAAAGACAAGTAGTGCCGATCTGACGCTCTGTATTAAAGTGTATTAAAGTTGAAATGTCTTTAAAACCCACAGCTGAATTTACACAAACTTGGTGAAAAACATGCTTTAAATGTGTGTAATTAAAGGAAATGTAGGTGAAATGTTGCTTTTTTGTTCACTAGTGAACACCTTTTTTTAACACGCGCACACACATGCATGTGCGCACACCTGAACACATCATTGTGTCCCCCCCACATGATGCTTCTGATGCCCTTGCACAGAGTACAGGGTTTAATGTGGCCTCTGATGGTAACACGTCTGCCTCTGTGTGTCTCAGGACTGTCTGTGTCCGTTCCTGGGCTGGAGAAGTGCCTCCACCAGTACACCTTGGAGCCCTCAGAGAAACCTTTCGACATGAAGTCTGTACCTCTGGCCACCACTCCAATCACAGAGCAAAAAACAGGTACAATCTATTTATGAGATTTGCTAAATTTCACTTAAGAAATCTGATTAAACTTCTGTTCTCTTGTAGAAATTGCACCAGTTGCTACCAGCAAACTGCCAGAGAAGTTGGCCCCATCGCGTCAGGACATTTACCAAGGTAAGACTCTTTCATGGTGAATCAGGAGATTTAAAGAAATTCCACAAGTTTGCTTTATTTTGAAGGCATCATCCTTACGGTTTGTTTCACATCATTCTGCAGAACAACTTGCTTCCATCCCAGAGTTCCAGGGTCTCGGCCCATTATTCAAGTCTTCTGAGCCGGTGCAGCTGACAGAGGCCGAGACAGAATATGTTGTGCGCTGCATTAAACACACCTTCGCCCAACACATGGTGTTCCAGTTTGACTGCACAAACACTCTGAACGACCAGCTGCTGCAAAAGGTTTCTTTACAAATGACTTTACTTATTTTCCCCCTGGCATTCAGGAGATATACTTGAATACTTTTTTGTTGTTTTGTGATTATATCTTGTAGGTGGTAGTACAGATGGAGCCTGCAGAAGCTTATGAGGTGATACACTACATCCCCGCCCCCAGCCTTCCCTACAGCCAGCCTGGTTCTTGTTACACTTTGGTTCGCCTACCAGACAATGACCCGACTGCTGGTAGGAAGACTGGAACATGGATAAATATATGATCAAATAGATCAACTGCATATAAGAAGTTCTCTTTTCACTTTGCAGTGTCGTGCACATTCAGCTGTACCATGAAGTACCTCGTGAGAGACTGCGACCCCAACACAGGAGAGCCAGATGATGACGGTTATGATGATGAATATGTGGTACGCAATCATGGCACATCTGCAAAATTTAATCATGCAAGTAATGATGTATTTGAACCTGTAGTTTCACGCTCTTCTCCACTGCTGTGCTTCAGTTGGAGGACCTGGAGGTGACGGTTGCAGACCACATTCAGAAAGTTTTGAAACCAAACTTTGGAGCAGCGTGGGAAGAAGTGGGAGACGAGTTTGAGAAGGAGGAGACATTTGCCCTGGCATCTGTGCGAACGCTCGATGGTATGCAGAAACAGATTTCAGCTTGAATTACAAATTAAGTTTTCTGGAATTTGAAATGATAAATAGATGTAAGCTTGTATATTGATGCAACGTTTCTTTCGTACAGAGGCGGTGGGTAATATCATCAGCTTCCTGGGAATGCAGCCATGTGAACGCTCAGATAAAGTTCCCGAAAACAAGAACTCTCATGTCCTCTTTCTTGCTGGTGAGTTTAAGCTTCAAGGTCAAATTTGCTGTTTATTTTAAAGGGATTATCTGTCCATTTTGAACAAATGCTGTAGACAACTTTTTGGATGAGCCTCAGTTTAGAAAAATGTATATGAGCATGCATCAGGATGTACGATATGAAGTTTATGATAAAACTGACAAGCTAAGCTGAGCAGGACCAAGAAAGGTGTGGTCAAAATGGTTAAAGGTGAAAGTTTTAAATAACTTTCACACCACCATCAATATCACAATACCTGTTTTTTTTCTGTAGAACTATTTGTAAACTCAAGCTAGAAGTGCTGTAATTAGCTGTTGCTAATGGTTTTGTGCTTGTAACCAACCACAAAAATCTAGTTGTTTTAGACTCTCAGACAACTATTTCCTCCAAACTCTTTCAAAATACAACAGGTAAGATATTCTTCATAACTTTACATGAAACTTAACTTTTAAAAATGTAAACAATAAATTTTTACAAAAGACTAGTACCGTTAAGATGCGAGTGCAGCATTTTAGTTCAGCTTAAATAAATGCTCTCTAAAATTTTATCACCTTTAACTGAGTACAGAGAAATGGGCAACAAGAATGCTACATTGGCTAATATTAAACCTTTAGACGTTGTTTTCTTACAAGCCTGAAAACTAAGAGGGTCTCATTTGGATAGCCGTTAGCCTAGCATGAACCTTCTACTCTGATCTATAACTGATGAGGTACTAACTACTGATGACTGTTTTAATGCACCATCCTTTCATCTTTTGTCGTAATTAATAGTATGTAGTACTTATACTTATAAAGGGAAGTCCTCCAGGAACTAAAGTGATGCGGCGACGTATTTTATTGGCAAATAAATAGTGTTGATCAAAAATGTCAGCATGAGTAAAAACGTAAACCCCTTTGCATAGTTGAGAAAATGACGGTGTAGACATTTTTAAGCAGGAGTTGATTTAGCTAAAACGCTACAAGGGCCCCACTCTGACAAACTATTAACCTGACTCCTGTAGGACTGTCATAGTTGAAAAAGGTATTACAGCAGTATTTCAAAATGGCCAGATTATTCTTTTTTTAGGAATTGTGGTGCAATAAAAAATAATCATGACAGGTCAATCATCCAAAGCAACTGGGCATTAATTGTGTAGTTGATGTTTGGCTTTACATCCAGGGACCAACTCCACACTCATTTGAATTGAAACTCCTTGAATGAGAAGCAAAGCATGTCCACCTGCACAATTAAAGTTCAGTTGTTTAAAAACTGTCTGGATTAGCTCTAAAAAAGTAAAATCAGGTCCTCTGAGTCTGGATGGGTTTAAAAAAATAAATAAATTGTAGAAATGTTTTGTCTTTCGGATGAAAGACGAAACATTTCTATAAAATTTTTTGAACCCATCCAGAGGACCTGACAACTTTTTTTTTAGATTTTCATATCTGGATTATTGAGCATGCATCAGGATACGTCTGAATTAGCCAACAGATTACTGACAACCTCTCACCTTCACTGCTCAGGTGTGTTTCGAGGAGGTCACGATGTGCTGGTTCGTGCACGCTTGGCGCTGGCTGATGGTGTCACCATGCAGGTGACGGTTCGCAGCAGTGAGGAGAGCGTTGTTGATGTAATCCTGGCCTCTGTGGGCTAAAACTGTAAATCTGCGTGCCAACGCAACCAAACGTTAATGTTGACCAATTATAAATGTTTCCAGTCTAAGTTTATAAACTAACATGTTTTCTTGATTTCTTTAAAATAATAATAAAAAAAAAACATTCTGCAATAAAGTTTGTCAAAGTGCATCTCTGCTCAATGTTTTTTTTTTTTTTTTTTTTTTTTTACAAAACTAACTTTTTATTTAAAGAAACATTGACATTAAGAGACAAAAAATTAAATCAAGTGTTCTTGGGCTCAAATACATTCGATCGTTGCAAAACATTACAGTAGCTTACGTTCTCGCTTGGATTACAATTTAAATGTCCTTCTGAATGTTGACACTGCAGCTCAACTCTGAAGAGACATTTAGTGTTCTTTCAGAAAGAATGAATAAAATTGAAATATGCTTTTAGGAAACCTGTGGGATCCTCCAGCTGAGGGTAGTGACTAATGTGGTCGTCCAGGACAGTCACAGTGGACCTCTTCACCAGCTGTCTGCAAAAGAAAAAGCTTAATTTAAGACATTTCAAATGAATTAGGTTATGTGGACATGGAGGAGGTTAATGTCAAATTACAACATTCATGGGTTTTATTTTTCAAATTGAAAAATATCCCTTGTTTAGTAAAAGGCAAAGGAGGTTTAAGTGAATTATGGTGGAAAGCAGATAGAAGTTGTAGCCACCAGTTCCGGGGGTTCTCACCAGATCTCAATACTTTTTTCATGGAAAAAATGAGTAGAAACTAGTTTGCATGTGTTTTAAAGATTAAAAAAAAAAATCTTATACTGGGCAGGGACTTCTCTACAATTAGACAATATCTTCTCCAGCATTCAGTATACACCAGGATGATTAAGAATTAGAGGAATTAAGGGAGGGGCCACTTACAGGTAATGACGGATGAACTGGGGATGGGGGTTGACTGGGTCCAGGGGTCCATAGATCATGTGCACTGAAACACGAGGCGGAGGATGAAAATAAGCTGAGTTAGGCGAGTTGCTACCCCACCCCAAGGACGACAGATGGGCAACATGACTGCTAATCAGCTTACCATTTTCTTAATAGACCTTCAGGAACATTTGATTCATTAACAGGCTGCGTGTTGTAACCATGAACTTACATGGGACGAATGTGGAAGTGAGCGCCCCCACCCATCGATCTCTGTGTTTAAACCTCTGGTTGATGTACTGGAGAACGCTGCAGAGACAAAACCACAGAGTGAAGTTACAGGGAAGCATGCATGAAGTCTGAGCACTGAGTCACGCTCACCTGTCCAGCACTAAGTTGCCGTCATTGTAGCGTAACCCTGCCCACATGTCCCAGAACTCTGCGTCAGTGGGCTGCGTGTAGGGACCAAACACTTCTTTTATCCTGCCCAGAAAGAAACTCAAGTCAACAAAACGAATAACATACTGGATCTCTAACAAAGCTCAAGCATTCTTACCCCTTTTGGAAGATAAAAAAGTTGGTGAGACGAGTCAGAATTACTGCAAGAATGCTTGAGTCTTTCAGGAGCTTTTGGAGACAAAATGTGTCGCACAAAGTTTAATCATTTCATGTGAGTTTACATTATATCAATAATTCGCCTGATTTTAACAAGGACCTCAGAAAATACTAAGAAGCATTATCAGAGATTTGAACAACCTGACACATCGTGACCTTGGCTTTTCCTCTGCTTCACAACAACTGAATACAAATTTAAAATTGAATCCAATTTCCTCAATTTTTTTTCTTTTATTGAAGCACGTTCTACACAGACTTCACTGGTGCCACTTGCACCCTTGTCAACCATTGACAACTTCAGTTTCTACAGGAGGTGCCAAAAATATTATTCACTGCACTTTGTTGTGCATCAACTTTCGGAGTACCGCTAAAGGGATCCTGAGTACCTGTACTGGGAGCTTGTACTGCAGTTTTTAAAAATCCTTAAATCCCTTAACATGAGCTCACCGTCTGCAGCAGCCGTGGGTGGTGTGTTTCTGGGAATACTCCTGTCACAGAGAAAAACAGACAGAGGGAAAAGCCAAAAGAAGAAAAAGTTTAGAAAGAAAAATGGAGTAAAATGGACAACTGTGGAATTCCAGTACAACCACAATGACCTTACTCCTACAAGTTTTGTTTAACATCTTTTAAGACTTTTTAATATATTTTAACAAACAAAAGTGTTCCATTTGTCTAATAATCAGTTTTTTTTTCTATATAAATCTGATTTTGTTTACCAGGTAATATCAAACGGCTGCATTATTTCATTAAAATTATTTTGAAATATTCACTGCCATTATTTTTACCTATAATTTTTGTCTTAACGTCCAATTGTCATTAGTGCTTCAGGAATTTTATTTCAATATTTAGAACTAAATCCCCTTGAACTTCCAGTTGCCAAACTAAACCGGAGTGGGGTGGAGTGTTTTTTAAGAAAGATAGTTTTGTCACAGAACATTGATAAATTCGAGTAACACTGACCTGACGATGGTGGCTGGGTTTAATTTCAGATTAGATGTATAAAAAGCCGAGTTCTTTGGACTTTAAAACATGACCAAAATACAAAACAAGTAAATTATTTTATTTTTCTTTCTTTTTTTTTTTTTACAGCATCAGCAGATGAGATGTAGGTTTTAGTTTGTCCAGAACTTATGACCCTAACTAATGAAATCCAGTTGATGTTGAAGTTGATGTGAGTGACGAGAATATTTATAAGCTTCTTAGATTCCAACTGAATGGTTCTGCTCTGGTGGCTCAGTCTGGTACACAGCTACTTTCAAATGTGAGGTTTGTGGGTTCAAATCTTACCACTGATCAAATCTTACCACTGATCCACTTTTAAAGTCAAAACGGCAAAACTGAAAAGATAAATGCGCTATGAGAAATACTCTGAATGCGAAAGGTGCTGGTGGCTCAGTCTGGTAGACAGCTACCTTCAGATCCGAGGTTTGTGGGTTCAAATCTTACCACTGGATCACTTTTAAAGTCAAAACAGCAAAACTGAAAAGATAAATGCGCTATGAGAAATGATCTTTGTGTGAAAGGTGCTGGTAGTGTGGTGGGTCAATTCGCGTTCGTAAGTTGCGAGCTATGCAGTAGCTGGTTCAAATCCTGCCTGCTCCCAGTACCTGGATCATCAAAGCCGATCCCACTGGAGTGGGTCAGGGAGGGGGCCGTGTCCCCTCCCCGAAAATCTCAGATCTGAAAACGGAGGGTTATGGAACCTGGGAATACATTTTTAAGAGTTTTTATTTAGCAGTATTACCATATACACTTACTTACAGGTAACCCTTATTGTGCTGCTATATATCTGTCTACTACTACATTTAACAATGTCATACTTCTAGATTAGCAGGACTTTGCAGTCAGAGGAATTTCCTGAAAAAAAAAAAAACAATCAGGAAAAAACGGTTAAATGTCAGTGGGGAACTTGAAATTCACACACGTGTTACCCTGAGCATTTAAGAGAGTGGAATACAGTTTATTCTAAATAAGTTAAGTCAGGTCCTCTGGGCATTCAAAAAAACAAAAACAAAAAAAATGTAGAAATGTTTGTCTTTCATCTGAAAGACTTTTTCAGTCTGAGGTGCTGTATTCAGCTCAGTCTTATCAATAGCACCTTCTCAGAGTGAATCAACCAGTTTGCTGCTGACAACCAAAACCAGCTGCTCACATGATTAAGGAGGACCATCAGCCTAACAATGGATCGTTAGCACCCTGATGGCTGTTTGCTATTTACAAGGGGCTGAGTGATACTAGCAATAACAGCATTTTAAGAGTGGGACAGTTGAACACGGAGCCTCCACCCCTGTTTAATGATGGATGGTTTCTTTTCACAAAGATGGTCTCCTTTACTCCTCTCTCAAACCATCGTTCCTCTTTATCAAAGATGTGAGCATCTTCATCCCTGAATGAGTGACCGCTGGCCTGGAGATGAGTGTACACCGCAGAGTCCTGGCCTGATTATGTTGCTCTTCTGTGCTGGGCCATCCTTTTGGCCAGTGGCTGTTTAGTTTCCCCGATGTAAGACTGATCACAGCCCTCCTGACACTGAACAGCATACACAATATTACTCTGTGCCGGGGGACTGGATCTGGATCCGGCACAAAAAGAGTAATATTGTATATGCTGTTCAGTGTCAGGAGAGCTCTGATCAGCCTTACATCTGGGAAACTAAACAGCCACTGGCCAAAAGGATGGCCCAGCACAGAAGAGCAACATAATCAGGCCAGGACTCTGCGGTGTACACTCATCTCCAGGCCAGCGGTCACTAGTTCAGCAATGAAGATGTTCACATCCTTGATAGAGAGGAACAATTGTTTGAGAGAGGAGTAAAGGAGACCATCTTTGTGAAAAGAAACCGTCCATCATTAAACAGGGGTGGAGGCTCCGTGTTCAACTGTCCCACTCTTACAATGCTGTGATTGCTAGTATCACTCAGCCCCCTGTGAATTGCAAGCAACCATGAGGGTGCTAACAATCCATTATTAGGCTGATGGTCCTCCTTAATCATGTGAACAGCTAGTTTTGGCTATCAGCAGCAAACTGGTTGATCCACTATGAGAAGGTGCTATTTATAAGCTGAATACAGCTCCTCAGACTGAAGAAATCTTTCGAATGAAAGACGAAACGTTTCTACATTTTTTTTTTGTTTCTGTTTCTTTTGTCCGGAGGACCTGACTTAACTTTTTTAGATTTTTCTACCTGGATTATTGAGCATGCATCAGGAAATACAGTTTATTCCATTTCAAAAACTAAACAGGAAGTACCACGTTTGTTTGTACAAAGGTAATTTTAGGTAAATGGTTAGGTTACTTAACGTAAACCCGGTTCTTTGACAACAGTCAGGTGTTTCACTATGGGAAACGCTCCAGCGTGACCATCTACGGAAGCTCAAATGACATTACGTCTGTCAAAGACAGACCGGTTGAGCTGTGCTCAGGGCTCCGCCCCCACCATGACACCACAGTCAACCGGCCACCTCCTACTCATTCTAGGATGGTTTCTTTCCATGACTATGCAAAGAGGGAAGTGTTGGTGAAACACCTCACTCCGTTATCAAAGAAACGCGGTTACGTTAAGTTACCTAACGTTCTTTTTCTAACTTCGTTCGGTGTTTCACTATGGGAAATATAGCCCACTCCCGTATTGCAAAAAAGCTCCGAAGCCAACAACTATCCTGAATCCTGACTAAGAAGGCTGCGAAGTACCGGCGTCCAGTATCGCATGAGCTAAGGATGGCTGAGCCACATTCAGCCTATAAAAACGTACAAACGTATGCGGTGTGGCCCAGCTAGCTGCCGCACAAATATCTTTGATTGATACTCCTCGAAACAAGGCCCATGATGGGGCCATGCTCCATGCTGGTCGAATGGGCTCTCGGCCCAGATGGGGGCTCTGTACCCCTACATCTGTAACAGAGACTAATTGTCTCCACAATCCAGTGTGCCAGCCTCTGTGGCGTGACACTGGTTTCCCTTTATGAGTTGAGGCCCAAGAAACAAACAGTTGGTCTGATTTCCTGAAGTCAGCTGTCCAGTCAACATACGCTTTCAGTGATCACACAGGACACAACGAGTTAAGATCTTGCTCCATTTCAGAGGAGAATGGAGGAGAATGGAAAGCTAACAGCTCTATTGAACAACATCTGTACACAGAATCCATCACCTTAGGCACAAACGTTGGATTGGGCCTCAGACATACCTTAGAGAACCCAGGTGCCCACTGCAAGCAGGAAGGGCTGATAGATAAAGTGTGTAAATCACTCACCCTTTTAGCTGTAGTTAAAGCTAAAAGCAGGGCAGTCTTAAAAGAAAGAAATTTCATCCCTGCCCCTCCACAGGTTCAAAGGGATGATTATGGAGGGCTTCCAGCACCAGTGAGAGATCCCACAAAGGTACCAGAGGCCTAGAAACCGGCAGCTTATGTTGTGCCCCTTTCATGAAGTGACACACTAATGGATGCTGTCCAATGGATTTGTTGCCAAAACCAATATGACAAGCTGAAATAGCTGCCAAATAAACTTTGATAGTGGCAAAAGCCTTCCGTTTTTACAGTAGATTCTGTAAAAAACAGAGCACATCCACGAGAGTGCACTGGAAGGGAATGATGTGCCTCTCCCCACCCCATTCTGCAAAAACTCGCCATTTGCCACTATACAGATAACGCATAGAGGGGGCCCTCACGTTCCGAATTGTATTAATGACCCCTGGGGCGAGACCAGCTAGATTTAGATTCCGCCTTTCATGGGCCAGGCCCAGAGAGCCATGCGGTCTGGGTGGGGGTGATAAATTTCTCTCCTGGCTTGGGACAGAAGGTCCCTGTGAACAGGAAGAGGCCATAGTTCCCCTGACAGCATCTAAATAATTTCTGCCACCCAGGGCTTGGATGGCCACCATGGGGCCACCAAAATTAAAGGTCAGCCCTGTTCTCTCACTCTGCTCAATGTGGGAGAAATCAGGCTGAGAAGTGGGAATGCATGCCGCATTGCATTTGGCCACGAGTGAACTAGAGCATTCACCCCTAGTGGAGCATCTGCGTCTGACAGGGAGAAAAACAGCGGGCAGTGGATGTTTTCCCATGAGGTGAAGAGGTCTACGGCGGCCCTGCCGTATCTCTGCCAGATCTGTTCCACCACCTGAGGGTGGAGCTGCCACTCTCCATACAGAGAGACCCTGGACAACAGATCTGCTCCTCTGTTCAGGATCCCTGCCACATGAGTTGCCCGGACTGACAGGAGTCTGGTGCTGCTCCATAAGATTAACTCTCGGGCCAGACTGTGTAGCTGCTGGGATCGTGTCCCACCCTGATGGTTGATGTAAGCGACCACCGTTGAGTTGTCGGTCTTCACTAAGACATGACGGTCCTTTAGATGGAGCAGAAAATGCTTTAAAGGTAGGAAAACTGCCTGCAGTTCCAGCCCATTTATGTGAAGACGTGACATTGTCTGTGACCACACACTGTTCACTGCCCTGCCCATCATCGTGGCCCCCCCATCCTCTCTGGGATG